ATTCAAGACCAATATTAACAGAAACTTCACGAATAACGTGGGGAGATAGCTGAGACTGATCGGTAGCTATCGTAGATTACAAAACTGACCAATCAGGTATCACGCGATGTAAGGCTGAGAAATTAGGTATGTGTCTAGGATGCATTTGTCGTATGACCCTATAGAGGAGAATCTGGGTGGATTTCCTCTTATAACGTCTAGTAAACAAAACACAAGCTCCAGCTGAAAGCTTTCTTGGTATAGATTTAGTTGAAGTAGTTAACTTGTTTGTGTGAAGTGTCGGAGAGGAAGGCGAGTGCCATCTGAGGATGTTTATATGCTATAAACAATATCGAGCGGTCGGGAGTGGCGGACCGACTGCGAGATCAGTGCATTGATACATCTTTTGAAAGGGTCTTATAACAAGAGTCGAATTAAAAGTGAATCAGTCGAGGGCTTGGCGAGTCGGCCTCGGTGAGCGTTACTTGTCCAGTAACATATATAAATATAGATGGCTTTCAATGTTCATTAAAATAAATGGTATATCAAACAAGAGGAAGAATACACAGCAAATTTATTCCAAGAAATGAATTGTTATATCTTGAGGGTGTTGATATGTGCGATTTCGAAGAAAATGTAGTCTTCTTTGCTCTCAATCGTCAGAAAGATCCTCAGCGATTACACGTAGAAGACCCATTTTTAGTTAGAACTTACAGAACTTCTTTCTTTCGTTTTGATAATTGTCTTTTTTTCACAAAAAAGAGCCAACTACGACTTCAACATCAATTACTACATCAACATCAAGCACCACTTCAGCAAATATTAGTATGTAACGTATAAGTATATGATTACTATTTTCTGAGTGCTGAAAAAGAAGTTAGCACGTAGGAGTGAAAGAAGTTTCAGAGCAAAAAACACTTTTTTACTTACGAGGAAACATATTTAGGTGATTAAGCTATTTAGATTCCATCTTTCGGTGATAGATAGACCTCAATGAGGTATGAAAAACCTCAAGAGAATTCGTGCCCTCGCGCCTTTATTTCAGAGATACTGAGTTCTCAAGATATATACGAAAAGAGACTGAAATGAAGGATGATCGTTTTTATAGAACAGTAGAGTTTTCAGGTGAAAGCTTTTTCCAGTTTTGTGCACTGCTTGTATAATCCACTCTGGGTTATGAGCTACATCATATATTATTAATATCACGTCTACTCACTGTTCATTGACCTATGGAACTATCAGAATTTTTCACTTCACATCCAATATTGTTATACATCAGAAAAGTCCTCACANGTATTTCGCGAGACGGTATGCTCAGAACCTGCGCGGTAACGGTACGGTACGGTATCAGATAATTATCAGGCGAGACGGTACGGTACGGTATGGAACTAAAGAAGACGGTACGCGGTACGAGGCGGTATTAAAATTTTGCAATACCGTCGGTCTCTGGGAGCCACATCGCATGAGTCTGCGGTACATGCGGTCGTGTCGAGGGAAAAACAGACTTCCGCCACAGTTTTGAAGGATTCTGGATGCTTGTCTGTATAACCACTGGCATACCAAGCGTACTGGATCATCGGACGAAAAACTTCGGAAGAGAGATGGTTATGAGTGAGTGACATAAGACGAATAATATTATTCCGCTCACTGATATTGATGTTAACTTGATCGAGCAGTACATGATTGTATAGTCGACGAGAGATCACCTTCATCTGCCTGTTAAAAAAGACATCCAATGGCTGAATTTGGTCTGTCGTTTTCTTCGGTATTTCGACTCTTGTGCACCCAGGAAGACGATCATACAATCCCTTTCCGTATGTCTGACCACCCCAACAGTCCGAAATAAGTAGGAACTTTTTACGTTTCCTAAGCGATGGGAGGAGTACATTGTCGCGCCAATACTCAACCAAAGATGTTGAAAGTTTTCCAGAACTGCTGCAGGTGATCACCAGATTTGATGTCTTGAAAAGATGTGAACGAATATTCTCACTCATATGTCCTCTGGGTTCCTTCAAGCAAAGATAAAGTGGTGAGAGGAGCTGACCATCAAATGTGATTGTTGGCGTTTATGGAGCGAACAGTTCCACTTGTAACTTTCTCTCCTTTGTGACTTCGTATTGGGGCAAACGTTTGCGAACATCAGCTATGAACTGATCGGCCGAAGTTTTGATGATCGCTTTATCTTCTACCTGACGCTTCGTCACATTCTACAAATAGCGGATCATTCAGGAAGTTTTTTCAAACGTTTTTACGAAGTCAACGGTTGACGAAAATCAAAAAGTCTGAAACTCGCAAAATCTCATTTTTTCCATCTGTCTTTAAAAGAGAGGTTTCTCTCACACATTCATAAAACTGACCAGCAATCTCTTACCTTGGTCACCTGGCGCGAGATGACATTGTGTTTGTTTTTAAAGGAATGCAACCAGTAACTTGAAGCTACAAAGTTGTGTAACGATCCATCCATAGTCTTTTTAAGAGCCCATCGATGTACATCAATATCGTGCACTGGCAGTGCATCCTCCCGAGCTCGTTCGAACATATCAAATACATAATCATTGATTTTTTCGAGCTTTTGTTTTTTCGTTCCATGTTTTTCAAGATAATGGCGAAAGCGTGAGGGATAGCTTTGATGCGGAATCGTCGAAATGGATGTTTTACTGTCTCCCAGCGTCTCTTTCGTTTCCCAATGTGAGCATCATGATTCCAGTCGGGATCCCATGTTTCTTCATCTGCATCTTCGTCCTCGACATCATCAATCAATTCACCATCGACTAGTTCATGATCAAGGGTTGTTTCCACTTCAATGGAATGGGAGTGACTCTTAGTAATCGATTCCAGTACATCACACAACAGCTCGGCTACTTCACATTCACGATTTGTGACGGTTGAGATGGCTGAGGCGACGGACGACAATGAGTTTGATGCTCGATTAACGAAAATCTTTACTACATTTGCTAGATTGATCATGTCGAAATGGACGCGGAAAAACTTATGTTGGTTGCGTGTTTGTATGCCACTCGTATATCGTATATAATCGAATGAAGAAAGGAGTAACCTTGTGGTATAAATAAAAGATGAGAGAAGGAATAGAAGAAAAAAAGTAACTGATGGAGAGTAAAGCCATCGAATACGAACGTCAAATAGTTATCAAGAAGATGTGATGGTACGCTGGCAAAGAACACGAAAAAGAAGATAATCGATAGACTGTCATCATTCTTTCCAGCAATCATTTTTTTGGTGTATAACAATATTGGATGTGAAGTGAAGAATTCTGATAGTTCCATAGGTCAATGAACAGTGAGTAGACGTGATATTAATAAGATATGATGTAGCTCATAACCCAGAGTGGATTATACAAGCAGTGCACAAAACTGGAAAAAGCTTTCACCTGAAAACTCTACTGTTCTATAAAAACGATCATCCTTCATTTCAGTCTCTTTTCGTATATATCTTGAGAACTCAGTATCTCTAAAATAAAGGCGCGAGGGCACGAATTCTCTTGAGGTTTTTCATACCTCATTGAGGTCTATCTATCACCGAAANGACCAAACTTCCATATGTGATAAAATTTTCATCAAAACTGGAGATAGGAACTTTCTCTCGGGAAAAACCTTTCCATGGGCTTCTATTAAGCGTCAAAGCAGAATTTTTTACTCTGTCATCTTCTAGAGACACTGAAGAATGATTCATGTTTGTATGAATCGGTTCGAATCTTTTTTCGCTCAACCGTTCGTATTCGATCATGTTTCTATTAAAATGATTTGGCCTAAATACAAGAGAAATATGAACATACTTCATAAAGATGTACTCATACTCGCCCATGGTACCGAATTTGTCTTGACATAGATGTGCTCATTTTTACTGGCGTTGAACTCAATTTCAATCCGTCGTCGTTACCAAGTGGATGGTCTCTGTGTTATTCAGCAACATATGCAACAATTATGGGAGGAAGTTCCCTGCCATCGATTTTATCATCATGCAATCAAAACAATTTGTTACTTGGATGTCGACCGGTAGGTAGCGCGAGTCTGACTGTAGCAGCAATGGGTAATCGAAATGATGTGCTTTACGACTGCGGATCCGCAAATAATTGTGTCCATGTTGCGAACGGTGTAGGTTGGTATTATTCAGATTCATACTCATGGGGTTTCGTATCTGGTGGTGACACTGTAACACGATCCAGCTGTGATACTGCATCAACAAACGCTAATTATCGGTTATGTTGGCATACTAATAATAATGGTGGATATAGATGTGGTTCAACAACAGACCTTAACAGCGATACATCTTGGGACAAGGTTATTTATCAATCAAATTGAATGGAATAGATGGCGATTGATCGAACAAGAAGCGATGTATCACTCTGTTTGTTAAGCAAGAATCATGACATTTTTATAGATAAAAGGAGAGTCGCTTTTTATAACGCTTAATATCGATGTCTATTAATAAAGCTTCTCAGAACGCCAACAGTGCTGCATACTTCGTGTTGTGGAGACCTCTGCTTATTCACCATAGAAGACAAACTGGTTTTTAACGCAGTATGCACATCTTTTTGAGAACGAGAGTGTATACTCTGCGCGAAATTTAATGTTTTATTTATGAATGAAAACCAGCATGAAAAAATCCTCGCATCGACAACCGAAATCAAGAGGACTATGAGATCCATCGACTGTTGAAGAAATAACTCGAGAATGTATGAATATTGATTCTTATTGTTCACATACAATAACTACTACAACTAAACCAGCAGCAAATAACAATGAAGAACGGAAAACAATCTTAGCAATAGTGATTCCGTTGACAATTACTATGATTGTTTTGTCGTTAATCGGTATTTATACTGTTAGGACACGAAATGCGAATAAATCGAATGGAAATGTGGAACTGACAGGGCTACGAAAAAACTTTTATAGTTAATCATGCACCTTTGATTTTATTTTAAAATAAATTTTTTTCTTTTGATTCCCGAATTAACTGATGACCATAAAGTCCTCGTGGTAGAAGATAAAACGCTAATGATGGGACTGCGACAACAATGGATAGGGATGCACTCTTTATTGGTATAAGCGAGCAGAAAGATTACTCAGTTGCTTTTTGTAAATTCAACATTCTGTTCTAGTGTGAGCAGGCCAGGATGACCCGAAGGTCCTATTTCTCGAAGTATTGATCGAGCTTGTTCAAAATATGATAATGCTTGAGGATAGTTGTTGTCTGCAAATAGAATAGAGCCAATGCTGTTTAGTATAGGAATCAAGTCAGAATTATCTGTAGAAACGATGTTTTGCCGAATTTCAAGAGCTCTTTCGTAAAATTTGATTGCTTCTGGATTTTCCCAGTGTTTTTATAAGCTGAAGCAATGTTATTATAGAAAGTAATCAAATCAGGATGTTTCGATAACAGGACATTTTCGAAAATTTCACGCGCACGTTCATAATATGATATTGCTGTCGAATATTGTTGTATCATGCAGCCAAATCGGAATAATTTGGAAGAGAACCACTTTCATGTACTCTGAGTGCTTCTTTAAAGAATGCTACTGCTGTCAAATATTCATCCTTATGCACATATACACATTCAATATTACCCAAAGAAACGGCCAACAATAGATGATTTCAAGCGAAATCTTTTCGACGAATATCAAGTGATTTGTTGTGAAATCGAACTGCATCTGAATAGTCACCCTGGGCATCGTATACTAAAGCAATGTTATTATACGTTAAGGCTAAATCTGGATGACTTGGATAAAATTCTTTTTCACACATTTCGGATGCTTTCGTAAAATAATGTATAACTTGTTCGTACACTTTCTCTTCATAATGAATCAAACCAATAGTATTATAAGGCTTTAGTAAATCGACGCGCTGTCGAATAATCGCCTTTTCTATAATGCAGTGAACCTGTATTGTGGTCCGAGGAAGCTATATTCAAGTGGTGCAAACCAAAAGTATTGAGTCGCATGTCAAGCACTTTCTCATAATATGAAATTGCTTCTGTATACTTTCCCGTGTGACAATAGACTATACCTATGTTGTTAAGACAAGTTGCTAAGAGTGGACGGTTTATAGGAAGAGTTTTTACATATATATCATATGCGTCTTGACGATATTTTATAGCTTCTGAATAAAATCCGAGTTTATAGTATATCTCACCAATACCATCATACGCAACAGCTAACAAAGGATGATTTGAAGGGAAGATGCTTTTGGAGATCTGAAGTGCTTCTTGGTGCCACTGAAGAGACTCGGAGTACTGACCTTAATAATTACATACCACATCAATATTGTTATAGGACGTGGATATTCTTGGATAATGAAAGTGTCCAACGACAGTCTCCCTTATCGAAATATACCAAAGCCATATTATTATAAAATGAAGTCAGTGTAGAATCATCGGAAGAGAAATATTTCAAGTATATCGGACGTGCTTTTTCATAATGAGAAAGGGCCATTTCATAGTTACCCAACTCATTTTTGATATATCCAAGTTGATGATGATAGTACGCTTGATCATGTTCATCATATGTTTCTTCTAGTAGTCCATTGAGGAGTTCTTCTGCTTGATTTAGCTCACCTACTTTAACCAACAACGCACCTGATTGTTGCCACCTAGTACGAAAGTTAATTTCTTCTTGAAAATATTCGGTTAATATACTCAGTTGTTCATCCTTACCATTAGTAAGTTGCAGGTCCACTTGATAAATAGAAGGAGTTGCTGATAGCTGCTGAACTATACTAAGTCGAAAAATCGTATTCATAGAACAAAGAATTTCTTTTTCCTCAGAAAAATTACTGTAGTCCGAGACATTAGTAAATGGAATCGACGAGATTGTTGGATCGACATATATCTTGAAAAGAATACCAACCACACTTTCATCTGTTAGGGTACTTCCGGCAAAGGCACGAGAGATATCTTTGTCTGCACTAGTCGAAAAGAAACTATTGATGGCTATTGATCTGCCCTCTTTAACATGAACGTCAAACTCGCTCTTCAATAGTTTCTGTCCTCGAAAAACAGTGAAGGGTTGCCCATGATAAGTGTCTAGTTTTTGTTTTCATCTCTCGTAGAACTTCATTTAATATTTCAAAGATGAATGGTGTCGCCGTGTAGAATTTAATTGGTGATTGATTACTATATTCACCTTCAGACCTCTCGATGTTGACTGAGGATCCTAGTCAATGTTCTTGACAGTAGATAACGAAATCTTTAATTGACTGTTTGCTGTCTTCCATATTGAGAAAAATGTCTTTGAATATCTGTGTATATACAAACGTGGCTAACAGTTGATTTGAGATTTTGATGAGAATTTTGTTCGCTTGGTTTGATAAAGCTAATATGAATCGAATCGTATTGATATTGTTCGCCAGTTATTTTCAGTACTGCATAAAGTGAGTTAATCTCCGTGTAAGTAGCTCGAATATATCCTTATCCTTAAAAAATATGTTAATACGGTGAAGTCGAATAACATCATGTATTAGCGGCATTAGCTCTTGACCAATATCACTGTTGACAACAAGAAAAGCCTTGACATCATCGAGATCAGTAATGAAATCCACACATTCATTTTGTTCGGTAAATGCGTCAACATTATGAAAGACATCTTTTAGTTCTGGCAAAGCGTTTAATTAGTATCTATTGTCTGATCGTTATGAGAATGCAGCCAAACAAGCGACCACTTTTGAAAAATTGGTTGGATGAGGGTGGGTGTCTAAAGATAATGCCGTTGTCATGCTTTGAAACTAGTTACACGTTAAGCAATGTTTCGCGATATAATGAAATCAGAATTAGATGTAAAGATCTTTGTCGCTTAAATAGGATAGTCTGTGTTGGAAAAAAGTCAGTGAGTGGACAGACTGAAAAATGATTTATTCTTCACTCCTCATGACGTTAACTTATTTTAATTAGACATATTTTTCTATACGACTGATTTACGCTCTCTTCTTTCTCATTTGATTGGCAGCATCGCTAATATGTCGTCATGCGTGACTAGCACAAAAATCATGCTCTGTAATGTGACAAACTTAATTAAAGCAAGTATGCACAAATAAATGACTATTGAAAAGCGATACTTTCAGAAATCTAACGAAAGTAAAATCGAAGAAAACCGCATATTTTAATGTTGTACAATGCCGTTAAAATATTAATATGTTCCTCCAGTACTTTAGACAGTTGTGTTACACATGTATATCTGTATCGGATTCTCATCCGCTCTCACTCTCAGATTACATTAATTGTTTTTATTTGCTGAAGTAACAACAACTATAAATCTAGACAAGAGAACGCTTTTAAACTAGGCCGGGGTTGTATCTTTTATCTACAATTATATTCGCATGGCAATTTTATTTTCAAATGAAAAGCATCATTATGGATGTATACAACAGTTGTTGCTCGAAATGGGAAGAGAATCGCATATGGTTGCACAGATAGTTTCAGTTAAATGAAGAATAAACTAGCTGTGTAAATATATACCGAATATGTTGTGATACTTATTCAACCCGGAACAGCTGTAATTGTAGTGGTTGTTTCAGTTGCCGTTGTTGTCGTTGTTGTAGCACTGGACGTGGTTGAGGTCGTCGACGTACTCGTCGAAGTAGTGGAAGTTGACGTAGTGGTAGTCGTTGTGGTGGTAGTAGTCGTCGTTGTTGTTGTCGTCGTTGTTGTTGTTGTTGTGGTAGTAGTCGTCGTTGTCGTCGTGAAGGTTATTGTTGTCGTTGAGGTCGTGGTAGATGTCGTTGCTGTTAAAAATCAAGGCAATAAGATAATATTTTTAGATTTCGAATGAAGATGCTGCATACTTCTAAGAACTGTCACCAAAACTGGAACAAGAATGGCCGTTAAGAGAAGTAGACCAACGAGAAGGCCTACGAGAAATCTCAAACACCAGGTTGAAGTTCTAAAAGACAGAGAAATCGAATTAAAATTCGTTACAAAAAGCAATGGAATTCCTACTGTGTTCCTGATGAAGCTCCTCTTGCATCTTCAATATTTAAAATAATAATACGCGACGATGATTGTTGACTACTATACGATGTATCTAAATTGCGTATTCTGATCGGTGATCTTCGCACTCGTCTTGCATGGGGGACTAAATCTCGTCTTATATAGGGAGTTAAGGACATTTGCATTTGTGTTTAAATCCGACGAAGCAGAAAAGTGAAATCGAAGTCGAAATTTGTTTTTCAGGTGATCGTTCGTCGCGAAATAGTAAATAAAGAGAAGTGTAATGCATGTTGAAAGCATGCTGTGATTCGATGGGCGTTTTTTCTTTCATCACGACTCATTGTTGATAGTATTTTTCATAAAAAAAAATTCGTTTCTATCACTCGCAAACGCATGAGATGATGGTTTAAATTCTCTTGGTACCAAAAGATGCATTCTGGAAATGATGGAACTCGTAATTAACCCTCATACGCCCACTTATAGGACTACCACTTATTACCCACCTGGGATCCGCACGGACCCCAACTCAATAAGGTACATATAATACGCGTCTTAAGTAGTATACTATAGTAGCATTATATTATATATAAGTTGCGTCTTATAGACTTAGTTTCTTATAGAAAAGGATCTATATTTCATTATTTTATCTTTTATTTCTGAAACATTTTCTTATAGTCCGCACTTATCCTGATAGTGTTTCGTTACACATAGTACAAATAACTGTATGATGATCTGGACAACAAGAAGCATTACAACTTGAACGATGAGTATTAACCTTTCGATCACGTTCTCTTGGACAAAGATGACAACGTTGCTTGCCATTAGATGTTGAAACAATAGTTGGATGTGAAGTAGTAACAGTGAGTCCAAGTGCTTGTATGGCTATTCGAACATTCTGCTAAAGAGCATGTGGTTGCTGTCGTCGTCGGTCCAAATGCGATTGAACAAGATCATAACCTAATTCCATTAGAAATAGACTGCAACGCTAGTTTTTCTTTTCATTCCATTGAGGATTTTTGGTTGTCCATATCCGAAAAGCAGCAAGAGAACCAATGTCAAATATGTTGAAAAAGAACGTCATTGGCCACCGTTTTGTCTTTCGTTTACAAGAATAAGTTTGACCCATTTGATCCATATGATCGATACCACCGTTTGTGTCATTGTAATATAAAATAATTTCTGGCTTTTTCTTTGCATCGTCTACAATTGTCTGATCATGATGAAGAGATGACAGTAGAATTACAGCATGAGATTTTTTTTCGGCACATAACTAACTAATGTTAACTATCGATCAAAACAAAATATCGATGATTGTTCAGGACGTTGAGCATTCGGTTGCAGCTCTCGTGGAATTTCCTTTTTATTTTGTCGAATAGTTCCTACAAGAGTTGTTTGAACACCTAGAAGATTCTCTGCCAACTCTGCACTGGTAAAATAGTTATCTTTAGTAATGGTTCGTCCTGGGTTGCTCTAGGCTGACGACCCAGATGAACCTCACCATTCAAAGGATGTGCTGTATCTGAATCACAACACCTAAAGATCTCCAGGCTATATTTTCCCGGTTTACTAGGCATCTACTGACGAAAATTGCATAGGCCACGAGTTGGAATAAGCTGTTCGTCTACCGTGAGCGATCTACCGGGCGTATAACATACTTATAATCAAGCTAAGCACATTGTCCATAAGTCTCGTATTGCTGCTAGCTTATCTGACTTTAGTCTTTCCTCTCGTGTTTCTGTATTGTCGAATCAACAAAACTGACGTCAGACTTTGAAACAATTCTTCCTCATATTTGCACGAAAGATAGGTCGCCCATTGATGTTTAGATTGTGCTGTAAATATTTGAACTGGTGATTGTTCAACTTGCGGTTGACGTTTTGCTCGACGTCCAGGTGGCTCATCATCACTATCACTCCCAGTTTCATCAGTACTTGTATCAGAGTCATCGCCTGAATCCTTTACCACCACACCATTATCTGATTCATGGGAACTATCTTGAAGAGTCGAAGACATTTCGACATCATCTTTTTCATCGTTCGACTCTTGTTAAATTGTGTAGAATGTCGAGTTCAGTGTTTCTGTTGATTGGAATCAGTGGATTTCTTCGAACTCATGTCTTCGTATAATAGTACGTAGTATTTAGTGAGACATATAATGATTTTACTGTTTCAATAAGAAGGTTTATATACTTTTTTACTAAGAGAATCACGGGCTTGTTGGAAAACGATAGAAGTAAGAGGATTTACTAGAAGGTACAACCCAGGACGATCGTTCCTGGAAGCAGTATTCCGCTTATTTCCGGCGAAAACTCGCCGGATATTCATATTTTCCGCGCTAGAAACCACGAGAAAAGACTCGGAATCCTACTAAAGGAACCGGTAACCGTATCCGACTATCGGCTATGGCGGGTTCTTGCTGGTTCTCGATAAAACCTTTTAAATCCGATCGAAGGATCCGATCGCCAGAATACTGCTTCCATGAAATCCCCGGAAGGTCCTGGAACTGGTCGGTTCTGGACCGGATTGTTCGACCTGGGAAGAGAGTATGTGTCATTTTATACAGAAAGGACGAGAACATGAACATACCAGACAAATGACGTATGTATTCATGTATGATCGAAGAACGGAATAAGATATACACAAGTAACGCTCATCCTTTGGATTCGCTGACCCTTTTCTGAAAGATTTTTCCGAATGCCGAACACATTCAGAGACTTCGAAAGAGAAAAAACGCATTGCGATTGCTACTGGTGCTCAACTGAATCATGGCACTATGTCACACACTAGAACTAGAATAAATAGGATACAGAGGTCTTTCTAGGAATCAGACCGATTAGCCATTTGTCAGTGGATAATTCTCCAGCACTAACTATGTCGACTGAAAAATTCATCGCTCAACGGCTAGTCAGTCGGCCACTCACGGCCAA